TAACCCTAACCCCAACCCCTATACATGTCATAACTCAATATTACACACTACTTGTATAAATGTATAATTACAGTGTAACAAAGACACCTTAAAATAAAGTGTAACCAAAATATTTGCATGTCACATGTCGGGTATTTATGTAGGCCCTAACCATGCTCTCATAATAAACCAGTCTACAGATTACTGGTCTGGGTTGACATATTTAAGGTGACAAACTCTTTTTTGATATTTTATATATTGTGGTTATCCATGTAAAATTGTTGGCTATTTAGATGGATTAGCTATTATTTTGATTATTTTAGATTCTAGATAATCATTTTGGATTTAGATTATTTGTGATTCGATTAATTTAATCACACCCTGTATCGACTCTTCTGGCACTAATGTTTTAATGTTTAGCTCTGTCTCCTTTGTAGATTACAATTGCACAAATATTTCCTAACATATTAGAGAGGCACTAAGCATGAACATCTCGATTGAGAACTTCAGCTCAACTGAGGTTTATCCTTCCACCATAATACACGAAACTTTACTGAGGGGTTTCAGGATTGCTTTGCTTGGCTTTAATATACTGTTCGGACTTCCTACACACTCCTATGTTTTGTGGCTTATTGCACGAGAAGGAGGAATTCCTTCAGAAATCTTCAATCTCAATCTCACAGTTTGTCCCACGACGCATGCGCGAGAACTGAACTGAAGTAGTTGAAGGAGATCGCAATTCTCGCGCATGCGTCGTGAAAATCTCTTGAAGTCTCGTTTCAGGCCAACAAGGAAGTAAAGGAATAGTCGAATAAAGTCGTTATTTTTGTTTGTTTTTTCGCACAAAAAGTATTCTCGTCGCTTGATAAACTTATACTTGAGCCACTGTAGTCACATGGAATATTTAAACATTTTCTTCATTGACTTTCTGGGCCGTCAAGTGTCATTCCCTTGGGAGCCAATGTGGTAGTGATTCGGCTCTCAAATTTAATAAAAAATATCTTCATTTGTGCTCTGAAGACGAACGAAGGTCTTACAGGGTTGGTACAGCATGGGGGTGAGTAATTAATGATTTAATTTTCATTTTTGGGTGAACTAACCCTTTAAGTGAAGTCAGTTTTTGTTGTTTTTGTATTGATTTAGTCCCGTTTATACATTTGTTTACACATGTCTGAGAGAAAAAAAGCTCTCCATATTATATTTATGCATTCTATCCCACAAGATGATTTGCATTAATGTAAATAGGTTCTGCCCTTCAGAGTGAGGGCATAGTGTCCCAAATGGAAACATAAGCTCTCACCATCTTCCTCCCAGTCCACACTTTTGTGACGCAACGCCACTTTGACTGTTGAGCAGAAGTCTAAAACCTAAAATGACAAATGGGACAGCTTACAGTACAGTATGGTGGAGTTAACGTTGTAAGTCCAAAAGACTGCAATGGTGATCCTTACCTTTGAATGAACTCACCAAATGCTGGGAAGTTAGAATTGCTTTGATAAGTGATGATGTAAAAATACTGAATCGGTTTTATGAACCATTTGAATGAACTAAATGAATCAGACTTTCCATCACTGCGGATGCATAATAATAATCTCTGAGTATGTAGGCCTACAAAATATATGTCCGCAAGAAAAATACGTTTTATTGCTGTATCCGAAATTGCATACCTCCATTAAAGGGTTCGTTGACCCAAAAATGAAAATTAAGTCATTAATTACTCACCCCCATACTGTACCAACCCCTTAAGACCTTTGTTCGTCTTCGGAACAAAAATGAAGATATTTTTGATTAAATCTGAGAGGTGGATCACTGCTACATAGGTTACCTAAGGGATCGAAACTTGATGGCCCAGAAAGTCAATGAAGAAAATGTTTAAATATTCCATGTGACAACAGTGGCTCAAGTATAACTTCATCAAGCGATGAGAATACTTTTTGGGCGAAAAAAAACAAACAAAAATAACGACTTTATTCGACTAATCCTTTTCTTCCTTGTGGGCCTCAGACGAGAGTTCAAGAGATTTCCACGATGCATGCACGATAATTGCGATCTCCTTCAACTACTTCAGATGTTGACTGAAGCAGTGAACTACTTCACGTCGCGCATGCGTCGTGGAAATCTCTTGAACTCTCGTCTGACTTTTTTACATTTTTTTACATCTTTTAAACAGCATGTTCTTGTTCATGTTCACCTATATTGTTTGCTGAATGCAGAGTTACATTGGTCCTCGTTTATCAAAAGTGCATACACCAAATTTCCAGTGTACACATGGCGTACACCCAAAACCACGGTGACTTTGAGATTTATCAATATGGACGTTGGCGTATGGCATGCTCAAATCCTACGCCAGCTCAGGAGGTGGTGTATGCACATTTTGAATATGGATCATAAATTCCATATCTCTGTTATTTACATTGTGGAGAAGAGAAGATTTGTTACTTTGTGGTGAAGAGAAGTTAAGTATCCTTAACTGAACAAAGCTGTTCACATACATGTTCTGGTAAATTTATAAAAAAAACATTTATAAAAACTAATGTCCTAATGAAACTAAGGCCTAACCCTGGCTCAATCTAAGCCCCGTCTGAAACCAGGACTTTGTTTTTTAAATGCTTTTCTTTAAAGAGTTATTTCACCCAAAAATGAAAATGATGTTATATTAATGACTCACCCTCATGTCGTTCCAATCCCATTAGACCTCCGTTCATATTCGGTACACAGTTTAAGATATTTTAAATTTAGTCCATGTGACACCAGTTCTGCCCTGCAAACGCAAAAGACCTTAACTCGCTAGAGTGTGAAACTGAGCAAAATGACTTTATAGTTCTGTTCTGTCCAGACAAAAGTATTATAGGTAGGACTCCCAAAATTTGACAACTAGTTGCTATAATGAAGCAAAGTTTGTATGCAAAAAATCTTGAGCTCAAAATTCAACTTTGACCCTTTTTTGGCAGTTACTGTACTCTGCCTTTGTATCATGTGCCAAAAATAAGGAGCCGTGCAAAGGCAAAAGGCAGTAACTGACATATAATCAATTTTTGCTCGCTGTTCTCCATACTATTGGTTTTCATTAAAACGAGAAAAATGGGATTTTGTTTTATTGACGATCACTGAGAAATGGTCTATTGTTTAAAATGCAAAAAACATTTATTATTTTCAAGGTGAAAAGGATTCATTTGCCTCGTCTAAATGTCACGTTTTTAATGAAGCAGCCTAAATGGTCCACTTTGGAAAACGTGTAGATGTCACGGTTTAACCCCCTCAAACGTGAAACTTACACGTTTGCGTTAACACGTTCCAGAGACACGCAATCGCCTCTGCCAACGACCTGTTGGTTTTCATTAAACCGAGAAAAATGGAATTTTGTTTTATGTAGCCTACGATCACTGAGAAATGTTCTATTATTTAAAATGCAAAAACATTTATTATTTTCAAGGTGAAAAGGATTCATTTGCCTTGATCCTCGCCGAAGAAAACGTCTAAATGTCACGTTTTTAATGAAGCAGCCTAGGAGTAAAATGTCTATTTTTCCGGTGTCCCCCAGCTCCCCGTTTAAGCAAAAGGTACGCTAAAACATCGTATTACATCGACGTTAAACCAGGTTAACCGTGTTAACCATAACCTTTTAAATACTCAACCTAGTTCCGTTGCTTAGCAACGGGAAGAAACTCCTGTAACTTCAGTGCCCAACCCGGCCTATCACGAAAAGACGTGAAATAATCACGTTGGTCCACTTTGGAAAACGTGTAGATGTCACGGTTTAACTGTGATAGTTAAAACTCAAAACCATAAATAGATACTGCCCTCTTGTGTCAAATTATATTTCTATATTTATTTTTCCAACAAATAAAACCAAACCTGCAATAAAAACCATCCAATAAACACGTGAAGTCAACAGACTCAGTGGCTCAGTTGATAAAGCGTTGGGCTTTAATCAAGAAGACCCGAGTTCAAATACCGTTCTTGCTTACGTTACATTGTTGTGATTATATCAAACAAAGTGACCAAAACAACATTTCTCCAGCCGACAAGACTAATCACGTTGGTCCACACATGTTTAGATCTCACGGTTCACCCCCTCAAACGTGAAACTTAAACTTACCATAACCAATTGGTTTTCATTAAACCGAGAAAAATGGGATTTTGTTTTATTGACGATCACTGAGAAATGGTCTATTTTTTAAAATGCAAAAAACATTTATTATTTTCAAGGTGAAAATGATTCATTTTTCTTGATCCACGCCGAAGAAAACATCTAAATGTCACATTTTTAATGAAGCAGCCTAATGAGTAAAATGTCTATTTTTCCGGGGGTCCCCAGCTCCTCGTTTGAGCAAAAGTTACGCTAAAACAACGTCGACGTTAAGCCGCGTTAACCTTGTTAACCATAACCTTTTAAATACTCGACCTAGTTCCGTTGTTTAGCAACGGGACTCCTGTAACTTCAAGTGCCCAACCAGGTATCACGACAAGACGTGAAATAATCACGTTGGTCCACTTTGGAAAACGTGTAGATGTCACGGTTTAACAAAACCATTAATAGGGCTATACTGCCCTCTTGTGTCAAATTATATTTTTAAATTTATTTTTCCAACAAATAAAACCAAACCAAAACCCATCCAATAAACCCTTGAACTTAACAGACTAAGTGGCTCAGTTGATAAAGCGTTGGGCTTTAATCAAGAAGACCCGAGTTCAAATCCCATTCTTGCTTACAATTAAATTGTTGTGATTACATCAAACAAAGTGGCCAAAACAACATTTCTCCAACCGACAAGACTAATCACGTTGGTCCACATTTGTTTAGATGTCACCAGTGATGTAGTGCAGGGTATACGCAGGTATACCCACTTCCTTTTCAGTCGGCATTGCGTATACCCACTTCTAAACCCCATCTGATGCGCATCATTTAGATGTAAATGTATCATGTTTATAATAAAATTTTGTGGTATGTTCTTACCAAAGATGTATCGTGTGTATGTTACGTGGATGGTGGCAGTTAAACAGCGGAACAATTTGACAGTATGACAAAGCCAGAGTACAGTAACATCACAGCGGGCACCGTAACATCTCTCTTGATGCCAGGGAAAACAAAGCCAGAATACCTTAACTCAACAATCATCGTGCTGGAACAAAGGCAAAGAGCCGTAACAGCGGATACTGCGTTCTGCCTTGGTTTCTCATATGGTTTTGGATGTTACGGTTGTGATAGCCCTTTATTTTCTCGTTAAAACAATCAAATTGAATCACGGTATTTATACACATGATAAAGGAGGTCTCAAATACCACAAAAATGACACTAACTCATTTTTGACCAAACATGATGTTACGGCGTTTTGCCTTTGTACGGCAGAGTTGGTTAGTTAGAAATGTTTCAAGCATCGAAAGTACATTTTGGTCCAAAAATAACAAAAACTACTACTTTATTCAGCATTATATTCTCTTACGGTTCTGTTGTCAAGCCGCGTTCGCGAGTCCGCAGTGATGCTGATGACGTGCTATCTGGTGCGTCCATGTATTCGGGTTCAAATAAATATGGCAGGGCAAAAAAAAAATGCAAGTCTTCCTCTGTGTGGAAATCCTTAGACATGTTTGCAAAGATTGTTTTATTTACAGCGTGTGTCTCCCTCAGACTGTAAATGAAGCTCGGGCGCACTGATAACACTTCAGCAGTGTCTTACGTCGCCAGCGTCACTGAACGCAGATCGACAACAGAACCGGAAGACAATACACTGCTGAATAAAGTCATAGTTTTTGTTATTTTTAGACCAAAATGTATTTTCGATGCTTCAAAACATTCGAACTAATCCACTGATGTCACATGGACTACTTTGATGATTTTTCAGGGCTGGTTTGCTATTTTTTTGTCTACTGTTTGGGGTTCCTACTCACTCCTATGTTTTGTGGCTTATTGTGCAAGGAAAAAGAATTCCAGCAGACATCCTCAATGTCAATCTCACAGTTTGTGAGATCATTTACTGTCTGATTTTTTTGATCTATATTTTTCAAATATTCTTTAATTTAGAGACACTACAACATTTTTTGCAAGGAATAGGCATCACTGGCCGTCCTCTGTTTCATTGTCTGTTGTGTGTTGAGCGTTACCTGGCAGTGGTTCATCCTGTAACCTTTCTGAAGTACAAACCTCTCAGATATAGAGTGATCTGCTGCACTGCGGTCTGGATAACCACTCTTGGATCATGTTTGGTTTCTCTGATCATGCTAACATCATCTAATCTGAAGGCATTTACATGGTTCTTCTCGCTGCAGTTCCTCCTCTTCCTCTCCATCCAGTTGTTTTGTCTTGTGGCTGTTCTCAGAGCTCTGAAGCAGTCAGGACCAGGAGAGAAAGGGGGAGAGAGAGAGGAGGAAAACCACATGAAGAGAAGAGCGTTTCATCTCATTCTAATAACTACTGTTACTATGGTTGTCATGTTTGCACCTTTCGCTATCACTGGATTCCTCACTCTTCTGCAACAGCAAAAACAGCAAGAAGTTTCATTGATCTGGTTTCTTAGTATTAATTGTTTCATTCTGGCTGGTTTTGTGCAACCTATTCTTTTTCTGCACAGGGCTGGGAAACTCTTCTGCCTCTGTTCTTCATAAAATTAATGTTTTAGACAGGACATTCAGAAATTAAAGTTAAACCTGTTGTTGATTCATAGGCTTTATTGAGTTGGTCAGTTTAGCCATATAAACCCATACAAAATGGTCAGAATAAATGTGCAGCCCATGAATGTTCATGTATTTGTAGAATTTGGATTGCTTTTTTACATTGGTGGTGTTCAAGCTTTAATTTACATTTTAATTAAAATGTACTTTGTGAAAATAAAATGGTCAAAGTAAAAATATCATCTGTTACTGAGAATGAAAATAATTGAAATCATCCATTTATTTATAAATTCCTTTACAGATTTTAGTTTGCATGTGTTGTTTTAAAATTAAGATTTGTGTAAACCTTTTCTGCTTTAATGTTTATTATTATTTTTAAAATGTAAAATGTAGTCTGAGTGTCTTTTATTTGTTTTTTTCACTCAAACAACCCTAACCCTAAAACGTAAATAAACAAAAATAGTGCTCCTAAACACAGCTGTCTGGTTCAACATAAAATATGTCCTCCAGGTTCTCCTTATTCCCAGGTCTGCAGGTTCTTTTATCCTGTCTCTCCGCCAGATACTGGAATTGCAAACAGGTGTTAATCATTTTCACTTGACTCACTTTTCACCGCTCGTCCCCACACACTCCGCTTTACCACGCCCCCCTCGCTACATACCCCCACCGCCCAACTTAGGCCGGGGAGTCCTACGATCTGCAGCCTCTCCCCCCAATAGAGAGGAAATCAGCTACAGCCATCTGCACCCCTGATCTGTGGATCACCTTGAACTTAATAGATTGCAATGCAAGATACCAATGATATCTCATATCAGTATATCTCTATGACATCATAGTCGTCAGTAAGACCTTTAACATTCAAGATCTCTCTGAAGTGCCCTGGTAATTGGTGATTTGATCACACGAAACATGAAAATAGAGACACCAGCAACCATAGTCATATGAAATTTAAAAGTTTAAAAGTATTCGCTAATGCTAATCGTAAATTCTCTTAGGTCATTATTCATGTCAGCACAAATGATGTTCGACTTCGCCGGTCGGAGATCACCAAAAATTAATATTAAAGAGGTGTGTGAACTCGCAAGTACGATGTCAGGCACTGTAATTTGCTCTGGCCCCCTTCCTGTTCGCAGGAGTGATGAGAAGATAGTCAGTAGACTGTCCTCACTTAATCGTTGGCTGTCTGAGTGGTGTCCGCAAAATAATGTAGAATTTATAGACAATTGGAAAAGTTTTTTGGGCAAGCCTAACCTGTTGAAAAGAGACGGTATTCATCACTCCTGGGCTGGTGCTGCTCTTCTCTCTAGTAATTTGGCTCATAGTCTTAGAGCTAAAACAAGACAAATTTGGCACCAGGTCAGGAAGCAGACAGACTGGCTAAACCGACCGTCTGCTAGCGGCCTCGCGTCTTTCACCTAGATATCATATTAGTCTGTTCCCCGAATTTGGATGTCCAAAAAACGTCAGATTAAAAATTTAATTAATATTCAACGAATAAAAAACAGATATAATACAGATGAGCAAATGATAAAGCTTGGGTTGATGACTATTAGATCCCTTACTTCAAAATCGCTCATAATGATATGATTTCAGATTATAATCTAGATGTGCTGTGTTTGACAGAAACCTGGCTAAAAACAAATGATTACATAATGAGTCCACCCTGCAAGATTGTTATAAACATGAACCTCGTCTGAAAGGCAAAGGGGGAGGTGTTGCTGTAATTTATAGTAATATCACTAAGAAATCTAGTTTTAAATATACTTCTTTTGAAGTATTGGTGCTTAGTGTAAAAATATATAATGTAAATGATAAATCACGTTTGAGAATTCTGCTGGCTACTGTAAACAGGCCACCAGGGCACCATAAAGATTTTATCAGAAGAACTCAATATCGTGACAGAAACTTTTAAAGGGATAGTTCACTTTCAAATGAATTTTTGATATGTTTTAGCTTACCTCAAGGGCATCCAAGATGTAGGTGTCTTTGTTTCCACAGCATTTTCAATTTTGATATTTGTTGGTCAAACCAGTGTTGTCTGACAGTCATACACTGGAGGCTAAGGGTGTCCTCCCTCGGTTCACCTCAAAGAGCATGCACAGAGAAGTCAAAATTAAACATGATTTAATGACTCGTAAATGTAAGTACACATTGATGGCCTAAGACACAAAACGAGTGGTTTGTGTGAGAAAACGAAGATTATTTATATCGTTTTTACCTCGTGTTACCACCGCCATGTCCAACTAATCTGAATCAGATGTCCAACTGAACCGAACTGAACCGTCTCCAGAAGTTACGTGAAGTGATCTCTCGCGCGTCTACGTCACGCATTGTTTACACAGAGATTTCTGAAGTTTTACCTTTCACTAAACATATTTAGATATATCGAAATCGTCTATCTAAATATGTTTAGTGAAAGATAAAACTTCCAGTGTATGACTGACAACGGTTTGACCAAAAAATGTCAAAATTGAAAATACTGTGGAAACAAAGACACCTACATCTTGGATGCCCTTGAGGTAAGCTAAAACATATCAAAAATTAATTTCAGTGAACTATCCCTTTAACTCTCTCTTTTCCAGCACTTTAGACGCAGTTGCTCCGTTGCGCTTAAAGAAGATTAAAGAAAATAGTCCAACGCCGTGGTACAACGAGCACACTCGGGCCCTTAAGAGAGCAGCCAGAAAAATGGAGCGTAGCTGGAAGAAAACTAAACTAGAGGTATTCCAGATTTCATGGAAGGAGAGCTTGATTGCATACAGAGAGGCCTTAAAACCGCTAAGTCTGCTTATTTTTCAAACCTATTACAAGAAAATAAACATAATCCTAGGTATCTATTTGAAACAGTGGCTAAACTAACGAAAAAGAAAGCTTCAAGCCCAGAATTGTCCAAGCAACACAGCAGTAATGACTTAATGAATTTCCTCACTTGTAAGATTGATAATATCAGGGACAAAATTATAACTATGCAACTGTCTACTACAGTATCACATCAGGAGGTCCATTGTTGTCTTTCTGAGGAAAGATTTGGTTCATTTGCTGCTATAGGAGAGGAAGAATTTTGCAAATTTGTTAATTCATCTAAATCAACAAATTGAATGCTAGACCCTATACCGACTAAACTACTGAAAGAGATGCTTCCAGAGGTCATAGATCCTCTTCTTAATATCATTAATTCGTCTTTGTTGCTAGGATACATACCAAAAACCTTTAAGCTAGCTATGATAAAACCGCTTGTTAAAAAAACACAACTGGAAAAAGCAGTATCCTCACAACTGTGTTCCTTTCTTGAAAGAAATGATATCTGCAAGGATTTTCAATCAGGATTTGGACCACATCATAGTACCGAGACAGCTCTCATTGGAGTCACAAATGATCTGCTCTTATCATTCGATCTTGGTTGTCTCTCGATCTTAGTGCTGCATTTGACACAATTGACCACAACATTATTTTAAATAGACTATAAAACTATGTTGGCATTAGTGGAACTGCATTAGCATGGTTTAAATCATACTTATCTGACCGTTATCAGTTTGTAGCAGTAGCTAAATGGTAGATCGATCACAAGTTCAATAAGAAGATACTTTATAAAAACTGTTCACTTCGTGTATACAGACAGGAGCCATCTTAGAAAATAGTCTTGATAAGTCGATCCCCGAATGCCGTTCATACAGTTCAGAAGTTCGCTGAACTTCATAGAGATCAGCTCACTCAGCACGACGTTCGTGGTTTGACTTGTCGTGACTATTTTCTATTTTCACTTTAAATGTTGGAAAGGTTTTTCTGGAGTTCTAATATATATATTTTTGCGCCTTCTGTGTGTAACCCTAGTTTGCATATCACATGTGAAGTGTTTATATAGCCGTGGTCTTATTTAATCATACAGAACCCTGTGCAGAGCTTTCTGGAGTGACTTCACACTGCAGGTAACACACTCCTTAAATCTCGATTAGTTTAGACTAATTAGCTATCGTATAAAATGTGTCTGAGTCTGATTTGTTTGACCATTTACATCTAACACATTAATGAAATGCATTCAAAGAAGTAAAAGAAAAAAATTAAACAGTTTTAATGAACCTGAGGCAGTGTTGTAGTACTCGAGACTCGGACTCGTCTCGGACTCGGTCTCGAGAAACATATTTTAATGGTGTTGGTCTTGTCATGGACTCGTGTCCATTTGGACTCGGAATTGACTTGTACTCGTACTTGTACTTGTACAACATTTTTTTTTTTTTAGGACTCGGAATTATTCCCGAGTCCACTCGAGTTCAATTGAAAATATTTTTCATGATTATTAATGTATGTTAATAAAATATTTCTTTAAATTGATTGACACGCCCAGTGATTGGTGATTTTCTAGTGCGCAACTGCGCATGACAAATTGTAATAAAATTACTTTTAACACCAAGTAAGTTCAGTAAAAAAAAAAAAGGATTTCTCTAAGTAAATAAAAGTAAATTAGGTAATCAACCCCCACTGGTCTCAGTCTCGACTCGGACTCGACTGTCTCTGGTCTCGGTCTCGACTCGGACTCGACTCTCTCTGGTCTCGGTGTCGACTCGGACTCGAGTGAGGTGGTCTCGACTACAACACTGACCTGAGGCTCTAACGCATAATCATAGACCATAAAATCTTTCTTGAATAAAATGTGCTGACATATACTCTCGAATTTACACATTATCTACACAATGAAGATGGGTGTGACTGAATGACTGTGATTTGCTTCATTAAATCTCACCCTTTATCGTCTCGTCTGACACTTATATTTTTCTCTCTGTCTCCTTTGTAGATTACAATTGCACAATCACTTATTGATTAGAGAGGCACTGAGCATGAACGTCTCCACTGAGTACTTCAACTCAACTGAGGTTTATCCTTTCACCATAATACAAGGAATTTTGATACTGAGGGGTTTCAGGATTGCTTTGCTTGGCTTTAATATACTGTTTGGCGTTCCTATACACTCCTATGTTTTGTGGCTTATAGCACGAGAAGGAAGAATTGCTTCAGAAATCTTCAATCTCAATCTCACAGTTTGTGAGATAATTTACTCTTTTATTTTTCTTACACAAATATTACCTAGAATTAGTCTAGATTTACATTGTTTTTTACAAGGACTAGGCATCACTGGTCGTCCTCTGTTTCATTGTCTGATGTGTGTTGAGCGTTACCTGGCAGTGGTTCATCCTGTAACCTTTCTGAAGTACAAACCTCTCAGGTATAGAGTGATCTGCTGCATTGTG